CATGGATAGATCAGCTCCTCGATATTGAGGACGTCGTCCAGAGCGAGCAAAGCGTCGGCAGATTCGGCAGCTAGCCACTGCATCACCAGTAAGACGCCAAACAGCAGGAGGCATTCCACAACGTTGGAGGATCGCCTTTATGTCTTGGCTTCCTGCATGCCACAGTCGCTCATGTAGACCCAAGATGAGCCTCTTTGCAGTGATGTCGTCCTTGCCAGCAAGCTTGGGCAGCCGTGTGAAGACTCGACGAAAGTCGAAGATGGGTTTGAGGCTGCCAGGATGTTCTGCAGGGCCATCAGGATTTTCCTCGTCCATTTCTCGAGGCACAAGTTGTTCATGCTCTTGGCCAATCACGGCCACTTCAGCTTTCTCATCATCATCGCTGTCGATCTTGTCCTTGATGGCGAGCTTGGATGGTGAGGACGACGATGAGGCTTCACTGGCTTTTGCAGGATCTTTCCCAAACAGAGCTACAAGCCAATCATCCTCCAAGTTCAGGGGCTCATGCCATTGGCTCAGAGAAAGTTCACGTAGATCTTCAACAGCCTGTAGATTCCAGCTCTCGATGTTGCCTCGCATCAGAAGTCTCAGAGGCGCAGCTTCCACAGTGAGCTGGGGCTCCGGTGTAGGGGTGCTCCAAGGCTGCAGACAAGCCATATAGCTCCTTGCACATCCAGGTACTCCTTGAAGACGTTGCGAAGCTGAGGGATCTTCAAGCCAGTGGACATAGTTTTGGTCCTTGGCCTTCCTCTTCTCCAGAACGTCGAACTTGTCCACCGCTTCAGAGAGGAGCTTGATGAGGCACATCTTCAAAATGGCTGTCTGCTCGCTGTTGAAGCTGAGTGAAGGATGGGCTGCAAGTCGTCCTCGCATGACCTTCTCATTCTTGAGCGCTTCCTTGCGGAGGCTGTCAAAGATGTCGTCTTTCTGCTGTTGTTCTCGTTCAAGTCTTTTGCGCTCTCTTGGATCTTCACCTTCTGGCCATTTTCCATAGCGACATTCACCAGGAAGAAAGTTGTGCTCCATGTCAGCTGTTGCAGCACGACCCATGGCACAGCGTTCGCACTTGTAGTAGTCCTGGAGGGTGTTGCGATGGTCTAAGAACCTTTTCACGTCCTTCACCAGAGCCTTGCACATGCTCTCGGGGTAGACGGCCGCCATGGTCGTGCGGTTCTTTCCACCAACAGCTCCTTGTAGCCAGCCATGTTTTCGGCCATGATGTCCTCCGCAACGTGCAATGGAGTGCTTGAGGAGGAAGTCGCTTTGCAATCCAGTTGGCTTCAAGATTGGATTGCCTTCTTCATCACATGCTTTGAATCTGCACTGGTCTGTGCGATGTCGTTCGCCAGGAAGGTCTTGAAGATGCTCCCACAATGCTGAGGACCAAGGTTGTTCAAGGATATTGCCCTTCTTCCTTCTTGATCTCTCTTTGAACTTCTTCTTGATGAACTGGATTGTGGGCATCTCTTCATTTCTCTCCTTCTTGGTTGTCTCCAGATCGCGACGTGTTGATGAGATGGACCACGGTCGGCATGTTGGAGTCGCCATGAGAACTTCAGGTCCACCGTTGATGTCATGCTCAATCTCCTGGATGATTCGTTGGTGCTCAGGGTGACTCAAGTCCCAGCCATAGCGGTAGTCGATGGGGAAGAGTACACAAAGTCCAGAAAGTAGGGCGATCAAAGACAATCTCCCTGAGCCACTGCACCATTCCCAGAAGTGAAAGATTGAGCCACGTCGCTTCCGCATCCAGGATCTGGCATTTCTTGGAGTCACAGGGGTCTTCTTGCTCTTTGAGTAGAATTCTTCAGGCACTGCTTTGTACATCTTCTGCAGGTACCTCAACTTTCCATCAGGAAGGTGTCCAGGAAAGATGTCACCCTCATAGCTGTGCTCCGTCTCGTCATAATCCAAGTTGTAGTCATTTCCCAAAAGCACCTGAATCGGAGGTTCATCTTCAGCAACCATCTTTTGGCCTTCACAAAGTCCATCACTGGTTCCAGCCACAAGTCCAGAGCTGGCTCCAGTGCAAAGTCTATTCGCCAGGTTGCTGTCAGCTGTGAACTGCAGCTTCTCCTTGTTGGAGGATTGGTCATCTCGAAGTCGAGGGTTGGTATCGTTGTGCTTGATGTCGTGTTGGTCATCACTGCCAGGGGGTTGATGTAGAGGAAGTTCAGCTATTTCAGATGTTCCAGATATTCCAGACTGCTCCAGTGTTGCAGATTGGCCGGGTTGTTGAGGTCCTTGCATCATAGTCTTGATGCGCAGTTTCTCAGTCTCGGTGAGCTCCATGTCCTTCTGGTCGTAGTTGATCGGCAGGATATAGTGTCCACTCTCCGTCAGCAGAAGTCGGAGTACCACCAAGTGAGCTCCAGGGTGATCAACGCGTTCACCATTGGTTGAGCAAACCATGATGCCGTCGCCATTGTCAAACCACTGGGTCAGAACTGCAGACCTCATCTGTCGAAGTGAAGTGTTGGGAAGCAAAGCTGGGCATGTTGAGCCTTGGCCACCTATCAGGTCAGCAGTGTAGCTTCCAGGCACTTCTCCATCTTGTCCATCGGGCATTGCAAAGGGAAGACTGACTCGCGCAAGTGTGCTGTCACTTTGGCCAGAAATGCCAGTGACAGTTGTTGTACTGGGACCCCAAGAGATCTCATTGTGGCGGTTCTTTGGCACCATTCCAGCATCAAGCAACTCCTTCAGAGTGTCGGTGCCAATCAAGCCGCTTGCCGCTCCAGGGTCCACAAGAAGTCCACAAATGCGCTCACCTCGAACCATGTGGAAGTTGTCGATGTTGTCAGTCTCACATTCAGGAAAGTTCAGCTTCTTCTGGGTCTGTTCTCCTTGATCTTCACCAGATGGGTGTTCCTCAAACTTCACCTTCTTCTTGAACAGGATCTCCTCTTTCTCGGGTGAGTCCATCTTGATGATCGAAGTTGTAGAAGGAAAAGATGAGGTTCCACCATTGAGTTGAGGGGGCTCCGACAGGCGGTTCATGAGGTAGGAGCCACCGTAGTAGTCACCAAAGCCATGAGGAAGATCATCAGACCAGAAGCTTCTTTTGCCATATCCCTTGTAGGGTTTTCCTTTTCCTTTGCCATAGCCCTTGTACTTGCCCTTGCCAAAGCCTTTTCTGAAAGGTCTTCCATAGTTCTTGCCAAAACCTTTCGACTTTCCAAATCCTTTGGACTTGCCATGTCCCTTGGATTGCTGTTGGCTGTTCAGTGGGCAGCTGTGTGTGTTGTGCCACTTTGAGCCGCATGTAGAGCAGCCCAAACCCATGGAGCCAGTGCGCGACTTGCCCTTGCCCTTGTAGTAGCTCTCATCCATGTTGCTCGAAGGGGCTGCAGAGGGTTCTTCTTCTCCATCAGCTGGCTCCTCATCGTATCCAGCTTCATACCAAGGTTCTTGCCAGTCACCTTGATCGACATTGTTGTGGTCATCTTCATAGTAGGCCTCTGCATCATCATGCCAACCTTCGTACCAAGCGTAGAGCTCGTCGTGTTCAGGGCCATAGGGCCAATCACCATTCCAGTCATCCTTCCATGAGCCAGTGACTGAACTCCAAGAGTCGGTGTCGTCGTAGTAGATGGTCTTCTCAGCTGTGTCCTCGTAGAGGGTTGTCTGCTGGTCTGGATGTCGGTGGGCCATTCTGAGAAGCAAAGTGCGAAGCTCCTCAAACCTTCTCATGTCACCATGAACTTGAAGGAGAAGATCATCGATTGACTTCTGGCCCAACTGTGAAGACTTCAGGTAGAGGTAAGTCTTTGCCACCTGATTCACTTCCAGTCCAGCATGCGTCACAGCTTCTTCCAGGTTGAGCTCCCACTGAACGCTCCACTCAGGGATAGGTAATCTCCCGCGTCTGAACTCGAAGAACACCTCCAGCGCTTTTGTAGCTTGAAGTTGTTCAGCTTCTCCGAAGGCACTGCGCAACGCATGGAGTAGAGCTTGAACACCACTAGGGATTGCGGCCTGGATCACAGCTCCTGACATAGGATCCAAGACCTCATCGACGCTGAGTCGCACTAATGCGCTGTCGCCGATGTCCACGTGGCCAGTGGGATCTGGAAGGCGAAGATTCATCGCTATCTGTTGGGCTCGTCCTCGAAGACGTCCTGCAAGTAGAGGACCAACAGCTTCGTCTGGTCCGTCATACAGACGGTACCACATCTTCACCCTTTCCAGGAAGGACTTGAGCGGGTACTTCGGGTCTCCTGGCTGCCATCCCGGTGGAACATCCTTCCGGTATTCATCCAAGGGTATCCCTGAGGTGGATGAAGTTGCAGCCATTGGTCTGGCCGTAGGTCACGGCCAAGAGGATCGTCTCCAGGTAGAGCTTGTGGCCTGCACAGGGCCTAGAGCACCAAGTCCAGTCCACGAAGAACCAAGGCCTGCTCAGGGCCAGCGCAGCAGCTCGATGTCCAAGGAATCCAAGGCCTGCTCAGGGCCAGCGCAGCTCGAAGTCAAAGAGGTCCAAGGCCTGCTCAAGGCCAGCAAAACAAGCAGCACAGAGAACGTAGGGCCTGCTCAGGGCCTGCAGTGGTAGTTCCTGTGGGCTTGCACAGAACCCAGGATCGAGGCAGCAGCGGATGTCCTTGGTCAGGAGGTTCAGGTTGTAGGGCGCCAGCAAAGCGCGAAAGATCGTAGTGCAGCGTAGGTCGATTGACCAACCAGGCAGAGTCAGAGAAACACCAGGCTATTGCGTCAAAAGGGAAATTGGGACAGTTTGGAACCTATGGGGCTCCGCTACCAAATTGAAGTTGGCAGCACTTTTAGAAGTCTCGGGCAAAAGGTGCACCTCCATGTAAGAGGTTAGAAATGTTCATGACTGTGCAGTACAAATTTCCAGTATATATATATATATTATATAATTATATAATCATAAATAGTCATATATATATATGATTATATATGTATAGATAGAGTTGTTTAGATATATATATATATATAGATACATATAGATACACACTATCTGATATGGGAGCAAGCCCCACCTCGATGGCCCGATCCACCGACTCCACCGCGGCGAAGCGAATAAAGGCGAAGCCCCGAGAACTGCCATCAGGCCTCCGAGATGCTTGGTGTAAATATCTTTTTGTGAATGGAAAGAAACTCTGAAATTGGATAGAATATTGGTGAATCTTTAAAAAACATTAAGAAACTGGGTTTGGAATTTGGAATGGAATTGGATCATGTACCGGAATTTCGGAATCATGAAGAAACTGAGATGGGAGGCATTGAAAACATTTTGAAAACCATGGAAAGCCCATTGCTGTCGTCATAGAATTCTTGTAAAATCGGCTGATGGAACTCCATCCAAGCCCCCGCACTGTCGTTTGATCTCCACATTCTGCGGGCATTTCATGGAAGTTCGTCAAAATTTGCTGTGCTGGATACTGATGGCACCCATCCCCTTGACTTGCGCCTGCACCTCACCAAATCGCGCGAAGTGAGCATGAATCCTGTCCTGCCGAGCGGAGTCATGCTTCATGTCATCTTGACTATCTCAATGAGTACAAAGAGAAGAGCATGAAACTACTCAATGCAGTTGCATTTCACATATTTCGCTACTCAAACACTCCGTTTCCACAAGAATCACCAGAATTAGCGGTTTGTTCATTGCATTGAGCTGCAGCGGTCTCTTTCTCAGTGTCTTTGCACTCCCGTTGTCGCTTTGGAGCAAACCCATCAGACTCGCCGTCTTGGTTCAGCCTACAGCGGTCGTCAGGAAGCTCCCCAGATGTCTGATTGATATATTGACTATATTCACTCGTTGGTAACCGGTTGGTAAGGTAACTTGCCAATAATCCCAGTACAGATCATTTTTGCAGATCTTCATATTATATCCAATGTATCAGTGCAATCATGCTGCTAAATAAAGGTTTGATTCCATGAACACATGTAGCATGTCGGCTAGTGCCTGTCAAGGGCCTGCTGCCAGTTGGTTTCAATGTCAACACCTTAGCAGCTTAGCGCATCCAAAAAATGCTGGGATGATCACATCTTGGTCCTGCAAATCCCATCCCATCAAACTTAAGACCAGCCAACCACTAAATGGCATGCGTTGTTCCTCCAGTGGCCAGACCATCTCTAACATGCCCTTTTGTCCACCGAGTGTCGCTTTCGATGCATCTTGCTAGCTTCATGCGCTTGTCGATCCGCAGCTCGATTCGTGGACACCCCGCACAGCTCACAACGCCCAGGCCCAGGGCTCCCCGTTGTCGCTTCCTTACCCTCCATCCATGGCTGCCATGGCTGGGTTCGTGTGGAAAGCCCAAACCTCAGAACCGTGGAAAGTCTCATCAACCTCTTGGATGAGAGGTCTATGATTTCTTCAAAGACACGCCGCAAAACGTGGAAGGAATGCCTCGAGTGATTCTTATCATATGATGTCAGTAATATGGTTTTGCACTTCCAAAATCTTCCAAATACTCTATGGTTCTATAATGTTCTATAATGTGTCTATAATGTTCTATAATGTTCTATAATGTTCTATTAGTCTATAATGTTCTATGTGGCTGTGAATTTTCGACAGCTAAAGTTTAACTAAAGCCACATGGGATGGTTATGAAGTTATGCACAAGGCAAGTGACAGGAAGAGCAGGGCGTCGCCCGCCTGGAGATGGAGCGATTGCCACGGCTAAGGCAGTCTTCTTAGCACTGAAACACAAATCAAACACACCTGGCGTTGCACCTGCAATCGCCCACTGATAAAGTAACGGAGAATCTGAAGTCTCTATGCTCTAAACAAAAAATATAGAAAAACATGTGGAAAAAAAAATAGGAAAATAAAATAGAGAAAAGTCATGAAAAGTCTAAAAGTCCCTACAAAGTCTACAAAGTCAACACCCAAACAAGGTTTCCCATGGTTTCCCAAGGTTTCCCTGCGCTCCTTGACGCTTCGATCTCGGTCCACTTGTCGCGGCCGATGCAGCGCCGGGAACTCCGTGCGCTGCCAGGGCACCGGGGGCGCCAGCAGCCGCCACGTGGATGGCGCTGCCCACTGGGGCAAGGCCTCCGGAGGCTTCCGGAGGCTCCGGGCGTTCGAAAATGCTGTGGCTTTTGGAAACAAATGATGTTCGAAATGTTGATTTATGTTGATTTTGCCATTTGGTTTGGCCTCTGATTTGGAGATATGACATGATAATATGATATAATATGTACAGTGAAGGCCTTTAGTCACATCAACTTTTTGGAACCAACATAATTCCTATGGGGAAAAGTCGATGCGACCCCGTCACATCATGGTCACATCAACCATGCCAAATAGCTTGGGAGAAGGCTGTATTTCACTGGTTCTAAAACCTGACATTTTAGATAATGATTGAGCGTTTACCAATGGAAACTGGTGTTTAACCGCACAACATGTCGATCAACTATTGAGGATATACCTGATATACCATATTACTCGAAATCATAGTTGGCAATCGATGGGAAATCAGCAGTTGAACAAGCCTCCAGGCACCACCAGCTGTAGGGACTCACGCTCTTGTTGCTAATGATGACAATACCATCCTGACAAGGACCATTATCTCGGGTTGCACTTAACAAAAGGAGATCTAGCAGCTTGGAAGCCCAGAATTCTGACTCGTCTGACTTGGGTCACTGGGGGTCTACCTTTGGTCGTCATTGGCACATCTGTTATTCACATCTTGACGTTGTTCATTGGTCTCTATTGTTATTCACAAGATATGAAACCCACGGCAGAGCCTTGCTGAGGTGCTTCTCCGCCGCCCGGAGGAACTTGGTCAGCATCAATCCTCGGCACGCCGGACCCTGGAGACAATGGTCAAATGGTCAAAACAATGGCCAGACGCCAAGTCAAAAAACTTTGAGAAACGCAGCTTGGGGAAATCTTGGTCAACTGGGAAAATGCTCCACTGTCATCCATGGAACCCAAAGTCCTGTGATTTTGTTCATCTTCCTATCTCTCCTATGACACTGATGGGCAGAAGAAATTCGGCAGCAAAGAGTTCCGTTCAACATGGATTCAGAGTGCCACACAACCATGTCCAACATAATCCATCTAGTCTGCATGTGCTAAAACACACAAATCTGCCCAGGAGCCATTTAATTTCCACAACATTCACCACTGTCCCACCTCTCTTCTTCCAACCCATACAGTTCTGCCCCAGTGCCAAGAAGCTGTTGGGAATGACCTCCTTGCCTGTTCCAATGTCAAGTGAACACATCAAGCGGCTGTCCACAGGTCATGCTGATCATCTGCACCAAATCCATCTGCATCCCAGGCACTGTTGGGCACTTGTGGAAAGTTGAAGACCTCACCAAGGGCGTTTGCTTGTTCCATCCAAGCAGGGACTAACTGAGAGGCAACAATCAGCTTCATGTGTCAAGTCCAAGGCACAATTCGCTCGAAGCAGCCATCCACCGGAGGGCCCAGTTGAGTGGCATCCACACAGAAGAACACTTTGGTTCCCAGCTCCTCCACGTGGAGTTGAGGCGGTTGATCCCTTCTTTGCTGAACATTCTCATCAACTGCCATTAGATCACCAAAAGGTCCTGACTGGAACAGCATCTTCATACATTTTATACTCCAAAAAAACCACAGATGCATGCATTCTGCCCTGGACGGAGCCGAAGCCATACCCACTGCCCACTCTCCTCCAATTCCATCACTGTCTTTGCAGATGATGGATATTTTCCTTGGCTCCAACTCTGACTCCTTCCGGACGTATGGATATTCAGCTTGGCTTCGATGCGATTGACATGGGACTAACTGTTTCATTTCAAATGATGGGCCATGCAGTCATGCGACAGAACACACACCTCACACTGCAATTGCATATGAACAGCTGTAAAAGTTTTAAGAACAAATACATCCTCTGTCTGTAGATCTAGTAATTCTCCAATCCAAACATCCCACAAACAAGCACGTCAACATACGATCATCCAGAATCATTCCACATCCACATCCACACCTTATTTCTTCCACATCTCCACATTTTCCAAGGCTCCCAGCAGCTCCTTCCGTCCATCGTACACCGTGGCCACCAGCTCTGCCCGTGCCACAGATGCAGCATGCTGCGACGCCAGGGCGCGGGAGAAGCTAAGGTCGCCATCGCCCACCTAGGGGAAATATGGGGAAATAGGTGTATAGTATCCGCCGACCCCGGCCGACGCAAGGGGGAGCGCGTAAGGGAAGAAGATGGAAATTAGGTGGTGTTTTGCTGTTTCGGAAGCGTTTCGAAACAGTAGGCCCAGCCATAATATTGTTTAGGCGATTCTGGGGGATTCGGCCGAAACAGCTGGCCCAGCTACCGGAGATTCTGGGGGATTCGGCTGAAACAGTTGGCCCAGCTAGGATTCTCGAAGTAGGATCTAAACTAGGATCTAGATCTAGATCTAGGATTCTCTAGGATTTCAGAAGAGACGTTAGGCAGGTTTCTGTAATATTGTTTAGGCGATTCTAGGGATTCGGCCGAAACAGCTGGCCTAGCTACCGGAGATTCTGAGGGATTCGGCTGAAACGGCTGGCCCAGCTAGGATTCTCGAACTAGGATCTAAACTAGGATCTGGATCTAGATCTAGGATCTGGATCTAGATCTAGGATTCTCTAGGATTTCAGAAGGGACGTTAGGTAGTTTTCTGCCGCGATTTTTCGTTATTTTCGGCACGAAATTAGGTGGTGTTTTGCTGTTTCGGAACCGCTTCGAAACAGCAGGCCTAGCTGTAATATTGTTTAGGAGATTCTGGGGGATTCGGCCGAAGCAGCTGGCCTAGCAAGGATTCCCGAAGCCGCGATTTTTCGTTATTTTCGGCACGAAATTAGGTGGTGTTTTGCTGTTTCGGAACCGCTTCGAAACAGCAGGCCTAGCTGTAATATGTTTAGGAGATTCTGGGGGATTCGGCCGAAGCAGCTGGCCTAGCAAGGATTCCCGAACTAGGATCTAGATCTAGGATAGATCTAGAGATCTAGATCTAGGATTCTCTAGGATTTCAGAAGGGACGTTAGGCACTTTTTTGGCGTGGTTTTGGAACTAGTTCGTCCTTCAGAGCCATGGTGTTTTCCTGCCGGGAGCTGCTTTTATGCTTTTTTCGAAGTTGTTTTCGGAAAAATGTTGTTTTTCTAGGATTTCAGAAGGGACGTTAGGCACTTTTTTGGCGTGGTTTTGGAACTAGTTCGTCCTTCAGAGCCATGGTGTGCCGGGAGCTGCTTTTATGTTTTTTTCGAAGTTGTTTTCCTGCGAGCAGGCGCAGGCAACAGAAATTCTCGAAAAATGTTGTTTTTCTAGGATTTCAGACGGGACGTTAGGCACTTTTTTGGCGTGGTTTTGGAACTAGTTCGTCCTTCAGAGCCATGGTGTTTTCCTGCCGGGAGCTGCTTTTTTCGAAGTTGTTTTCCTGCGAGCGGCCGCAGGCAACAGAAATTCTCGAAAAAGGTTGTTTTATGTTCTTTTATGTTGTTTTTCTAAGATTTCAGAAGGGACGTTAGGCACTTTTTTGGCGTGGTTTTGGAACTAGTTCGTCCTTCAGAGCCATGGTGTTTTCCTGCCGGGAGCTGCTTTTATGTTTTTTTCGAAATTGTTTTCCTGCGAGCGGGCGCAGGCAACAGAAATTCTCGAAAAAGGTTGTTTTTCTAGGATTTCAGACGGGACGTTAGGCACTTTTTTGGCGTGGTTTTGGAACTAGTTCGTCCTTCAGAGCCATGGTGTTTTCCTGCCGGGAGCTGCTTTTTTCGAAGTTGTTTTCCTGCGAGCGGCCGCGGGCAACAGAAATTCTCGAAAAAGGTTGTTTTTCTAGGATTTCAGACGGGACGTTAGGTACTTTTTTTTGCGTGGTTTTGGAACTAGTTCGTCCTTCAGAGCCATGGTGTTTTCCTGCCGGGAGCTGCTTTTTTCGCAGTTGTTTTCCTGCGAGCGGCCGCAGGCAACAGAAATTCTCGAAAAAGGTTGTTTTTCTAGGATTTCAGACGGGACGTTAGGTTGTTTTTCTAGGATGTCAGACGGGACGTTAGGTACTTTTTTGGCGTGGTTTTGGAACTAGTTCGTCCTTCAGAGCCATGGTGTTTTCCTGCCGGGAGCTGCTTTTATGTTTTTTTCGAAGTTGTTTTCCTGCGAGCGGGCGCAGGCAACAGAAATTCTCGAAAAAGGTTGTTTTTCTAGGATTTCAGACGGGACGTTAGGCACTTTTTTGGCGTGGTTTTGGAACTAGTTCGTCCTTCTGAGCCATGGTGTTTTCCTGCCGGGAGCTGCTTTTTTCGAAGTTGTTTTCCTGCGAAAAAGGTTGTTCGTCCTTCAGAGCCATGGTGTTTTCCTGCCGGGAGCTGCTTTTATGCTTTTTTCGAAGTTGTTTTCGGAAGAAGGTTGTTTTTCTAGGATTTCAGAAGGGACGTTAGGCACTTTTTTGGCGTGGTTTTGGAACTAGTTCGTCCTTCAGAGCCATGGTGTTTTCCTGCCGGGAGCTGCTTTTTTCGAAGTTGTTTTCCTGCGAGCGGCCGCAGGCAACAGAAATTCTCGAAAAAGGTTGTTTTATGTTGTTTTATGTTGTTTTTCTATGTTGTTTTATGTTGTTTTTCTAGGATTTCAGAAGAGACGTTAGGCACTTTTTTGGCGTGGTTTTGGAACTAGTTCGTCCTTCAGAGCCATGGTGTTTTCCTGCCGGGAGCTGCTTTTATTTTTTTTCGAAGTTGTTTTCCTGCGAGCGGGCGCAGGCAACAGAAATTCTCGAAAAAGGTTGTTTTTCTAGGATTTCAGACGGGACGTTAGGCACTTTTTTGGCGTGGTTTTGGAACTAGTTCGTCCTTCAGAGCCATGGTGTTTTCCTGCCGGGAGCTGCTTTTTTCGAAGTTGTTTTCCTGCGAGCGGCCGCGGGCAACAGAAATTCTCGAAAAAGGTTGTTTTTCTAGGATTTCAGACGGGACGTTAGGTACTTTTTTTTGCGTGGTTTTGGAACTAGTTCGTCCTTCAGAGCCATGGTGTTTTCCTGCCGGGAGCTGCTTTTTTCGCAGTTGTTTTCCTGCGAGCGGCCGCAGGCAACAGAAATTCTCGAAAAAGGTCGTTTTTCTAGGATTTCAGACGGGACGTTAGGCACTTTTTTGGCGTGGTTTTGGAACTAGCTCGTCCTTCAGAGCCATGGTGTTTTCCTGCCGGGAGCTGCTTTTTTCGAAGTTGTTTTCCTGCGAAAAAGGTTGTTTTTCTAGGATTTCAGACGGGACGTTAGGCACTTTTTTGGCGTGGTTGTGGAACTAGTTCGTCCTTCAGAGCCATTGTGTTTTCCTGCCGGGAGCTGCTTTTTTCGAAGTTGTTTTCCTGCGAGCGGCCGCAGGCAACAGAAATTCTCGAAAAATGTTGTTTTTCTAGGATTTCAGAAGGGACGTTAGGCACTTTTTTGGCGTGGTTTTGGAACTAGTTCGTCCTTCAGAGCCATGGTGTTTTCCTGCCGGGAGCTGCTTTTTTCGAAGTTGTTTTCCTGCGAGCGGCCGCAGGCAACAGAAATTCTCGAAAAAAGTTGTTTTTCTGGGATTTCAGACGGGACCGGCCGACGCAAAGGGGAGCTGCCCGCAGGCAGCAGCAGGCAGCAGGCAGCAGCAGGCAGCAGCAGACACAAGCAGACGCAGCAGCAGTAAGCGCAATGGTAGCAGTGCAGCAGCTAGCAGCACGAAAAATTGTGTTTTTCTAGGATGGCACTAATGGGTGTCAAGAACGTGGGCAAGAGCACGCAAAAGGTGCACATAGCCAGTAGCTAGCAGCCAGCGCCAGTAGCAGCCAGCAGCCAGTAGCCAGCAGCCTACCAAAAATCTAATCTAGATTTTTCTAGGATTTCAGACGACACGTTAGGCACTTTTTTGGCGTGGTTCTGGCACTCGCTCGTCCTTCAGAGCCCTGGTGTTTTCCCCCGGGGAGGTGATTTTTTCGAAGTTGTTTTCCTGCGAGCGGCCGCAGGCAACAGAAATTCTCGAAAAAGGTTGTTTTTCTAGGATTTCAGACGGGACGTTAGGCACTTTTTTGGCGTGGTTTTAGAACTAGTTCGTCCTTCAGAGCCATGGTGTTTTCCTGCCGGGAGCTGCTTTTATGCTTTTTTCGAAGTTGTTTTCGGAAAAAGGTTGTTTGTCTAGGATTTCAGAAGGGACGTTAGGCACTTTTTTGGCGTGGTTTTGGAACTAGTTCGTCCTTCAGAGCCATGGTGTTTTCCTGCCGGGAGCTGCTTTTATGTTTTTTTCGAAGTTGTTTTCCTGCGAGCGGGCGCAGGCAACAGAAATTCTCGAAAAATGTTGTTTTTCTAGGATTTCAGACGGGACGTTAGGCACTTTTTTGGCGTGGTTTTGGAACTAGTTCGTCCTTCAGAGCCATGGTGTTTTCCTGCCGGGAGCTGCTTTTTTCGAAGTTGTTTTCCTGCGAGCGGCCGCAGGCAACAGAAATTCTCGAAAAAGGTTGTTTTATGTTGTTTTATGTCGTTTTTCTAGGATTTCAGAAGGGACGTTAGGCACTTTTTTGGCGTGGTTTTGGAACTAGTTCGTCCTTCAGAGCCATGGTGTTTTCCTGCCGGGAGCTGCTTTTTTCGAAGTTGTTTCCCTGCGAGCGGCCGCAGGCAACAGAAATTCTCGAAAAAGGTTGTTTTTCTAGGATTTCAGACGGGACGTTAGGTACTTTTTTGGCGTGGTTTTGGAACTAGTTCGTCCTTCAGAGCCATGGTGTTTTCCTGCCGGAAGCTGCTTTTTTCGCAGTTGTTTTCCTGCGAGCGGCCGCAGGCAACAGAAATTCTCGAAAAAGGTTGTTTTTCTTGGATTTCAGACGGGACGTTAGGCACTTTTTTGGCGTGGTTTTGGAACTAGCTCGTCCTTCAGAGCCATGGTGTTTTCCTGCCGGGAGCTGCTTTTTTCGCAGTTGTTTTCCTGCGAGCGGCGCAGGCAACAGAAATTCTCGAAAAAGGTTGTTTTTCTAGGATTTCAGACGGGACGTTAGGCACTTTTTTGGCGTGGTTTTGGAACTAGCTCGTCCTTCAGAGCCATGGTGTTTTCCTGCCGGGAGCTGCTTTTTTCGAAGTTGTTTTCCTGCGAAAAAGGTTGTTCGTCCTTCAGAGCCATGGTGTTTTCCTGCCGGGGGCTGCTTTTATGTTTTTTTCGAAGTTGTTTTCCTGCGAGCGGGCGCAGGCTACAGAAATTCTCGAAAAATGTTGTTTTTCTAGGATTTCAGACGGGGCGTTAGGCACTTTTTTGGCGTGGTTTTGGAACTAGTTCGTCCTTCAGAGCCATGGTGTTTTCCTGCCGGGGGATTTCAGACGGGACGTTAGGTACTTTTTTGGCGTGGTTTTGGAACTAGTTCGTCCTTCAGAGCCATGGTGTTTTCCTGCCGGGAGCTGCTTTTTTCGCAGTTGTTTTCCTGCGAGCGGCCGCAGGCAACAGAAATTCTCGAAAAAGGTTGTTTTTCTAGGATTTCAGACGGGACGTTAGGCACTTTTTTGGCGTGGTTTTGGAACTAGCTCGTCCTTCAGAGCCATGGTGTTTTCCTGCCGGGAGCTGCTTTTTTCGAAGTTGTTTTCCTGCGAAAAAGGTTGTTTTTCTAGGATTTCAGACGGGACGTTAGGTACTTTTTTGCGTGGTTTTGGAACTAGTTCGTCCTTCAGAGCCATTGTGTTTTCCTGCCGGGAGCTGCTTTTTTCGAAGTTGTTTTCCTGCGAGCGGCGCAGGCAACAGAAATTCTCGAAAAAGGTTGTTTTTCTAGGATTTCAGAAGGGACGTTAGGCACTTTTTTGGCGTGGTTTTGGAACTAGTTCGTCCTTCAGAGCCATGGTGTTTTCCTGCCGGGAGCTGCTTTTTTCGAAGTTGTTTTCCTGCGAGCGGCCGCAGGCAACAGAAATTCTCGAAAAAAGTTGTTTTTCTGGGATTTCAGACGGGACCGGCCGACGCAAAGGGGAGCTGCCCGCAGGCAGCAGCAGGCAGCAGGCAGCAGCAGGCAGCAGCAGACACAAGCAGACGCAGCAGCAGTAAGCGCAATGGTAGCAGTGCAGCAGCTAGCAGCACGAAAAATTGTGTTTTTCTAGGATGGCACTAATGGGTGTCAAGAACGTGGGCAAGAGCACGCAAAAGGTGCACATAGCCAGTAGCTAGCAGCCAGCGCCAGTAGCAGCCAGCAGCCAGTAGCCAGCAGCCAGTACCAAAAATCTAATCTAGATTTTTCTAGGATTTCAGACGACACGTTAGGCACTTTTTTGGCGTGGTTCTGGCACTCGCTCGTCCTTCAGAGCCCTGGTGTTTTCCCCCCCGGGAGGTGATTTTTTCGAAGTTGTTTTCCTGCGAGCGGCCGCAGGCAACAGAAATTCTCGAAAAAGGTTGTTTTTCTAGGATTTCAGACGGGACGTTAGGCACTTTTTTGGCGTGGTTTTAGAACTAGTTCGTCCTTCAGAGCCATGGTGTTTTCCTGCCGGGAGCTGCTTTTATGCTTTTTTCGAAGTTGTTTTCGGAAAAAGGTTGTTTTTCTAGGATTTCAGAAGGGACGTTAGGCAGACACGCCATCCTAAAAAGAAATGGAAAGAAAAAACCATGAGCACAAACCAACAATTCCGGTCAAAAACAAAAAGATAATGGAAAAACACAAAAACAATCAAACAATGAAGAAGTGACAGAACCGTTAAGTCATCAAGAAATAATAGACAATCTTAATGATACATTCCCTTCTTTTCAAATCTTAGTTGAATAAATGAAAACTTTAAAACCCTAACAACCTCAACAAATCCTGACCCAATCAATGATACTCCCCTAAAATAATCAACAAGGTTAGGATGAAACGTTTTTACCAAAAATGTCTTACAACATACATCACAAAAAACATCAACACCAAGGAACGCACGTTCCCCTTTAACATAAAAACCATAACAGGCAACAATGCGTGTAAAACTGTCCCAGGAACATCCTTTCCCCATTTTTTTTGGGGGGGGGTGCAGGCCTGTACCATATATACGTTCTGACGGCTTGCCAATTCTTCCGGGGTCGGCGGCAGGGGCGGCAGCCCTTAAATATAGGGATAATGGCGATAAGTATACATCTATATGTATAGTGTATATATGTGTATATCATATCTCGCTATCCCCATATAGATGTATATAGTATATATCATATATGGGGATAAGTAATGATAAGTATTCAATGCCGATATGATGCAATAATATATCTATAATATATATATATATCATCTATCATATGTGGAGATGAATATTCAATGCCTATAAGAATAAAAACCAAAATGATTGCAATAACACAGGAATAATAATGGTAGTAATTTACTGATAAATATTGGGAATGACTCGGGGGATGAACATTGTTCAACATCCATAAATGTTCAGATATTTGGGGTTGATTTTGAAAACATCAAGTGGAGGGATTCAAGAAGATTCCTGGGCGATGATTCTGGGGAGCCCAAAAAAAAATGTCATGTCCTGGTATGCATGGCCCAGAATTGTCTACCTCTAATACCATGTTTCGAAACCCTACTGGGCCTAGTTGGTTTAATTAAAAATAATTATATAAAATAGACAATCCAATCCGACCACTGACCAGGTTAAAGGCCTACGACCTGATGGCCTCATGGCTGTAGCCTCATCTCAAAGGTACCATGTCCGTTTTCCATCTGTGATCTACTCGTTGCTGCTCCCCGGAAAACCAAGGCACCGTTAATGTTCTGCACGTGGCTGGCAAGGCCACCAAAGCAACTTCAGGCGCTCCAGAGACATCGGTGGCCATGGCAATCGGTTCATTCGGCCTTACATTACATTACATGATGTAATAAAAGTGGAATCGAGAGGACTGCCACATCAGATTCAAACCGATTCAAACATCAAAAATCAGTTGGTGATACAGTGATATCTGCTAACCTTCTAAAAATTCTAAAAGCAAATTAATTTAACAATGGCCGTGTCCACAGTCTGCGCAGAGGATTTGAGAGGCTCAATCAATAGGCAGGTGCAGATGCTAAAGCACTTGTCCGCACTTGTCTTGTCGGCACTCAAACGTAGTATACGCATCATCAAATCCATGCTACAATGTCATCTATCCATGTATAATTCCATTATATTCCAAGTAATTTCAAGTAATCAGATATACGCGACAATTCACATGTACTAGTAGTGTGGTGGAAAACGCTCATCACATCAGCTTCATTGATGTCTACTCCGATACCCGAACTCGGACTCCTCAGTGGTGGTCTTTCTTAGACCTCCCACGAAGATCCGATAAGCATTCACATCTACCTTGGTCCCAACTGTCTCAACGCCATCCTGGGAGAGTCTTTTCTTTTTCGTTGGATGCCGCGAAATCCACGGAACATTCAACAGTTCTGTTTCTACCACCTGGACGAACTGAGGGGCCGCACTTTGGATGACATGACTGAGACCTTGGGTTGAGTTTCACAAACTGACTGTCTGTAGTTTTGGGGGATTCCAAAAAGATCCAAAAAGGACAAGCTGAAACTCACCGGTTTCAATTCTACATATTCCACAAAGTGAAGCAAAACAATTGATGTTTTTGGCTGGAGGATTTCCGTGGACCAAAAGCGTCAAACTGGAGCTGGGGTGGCATCCCTCCCTTGGCCCATGGCAAAATACGTTTCCCTCTTGAGTTTCCCTGCATTTTGGCCCACTATCGGTCCATGGAAAAGCTGGTTTAATTGGGCTGAAGTAGCAGCTGCAAAAACAGGGACTGGCCATGCAGATTGCTTTGGATTTCAGACCGCGGGAAAAAAAAACATGGCATATGTATGCACATGTATTAGGCCATGTCCAGCCATTTGGTCCATCCATGTCCAACTCCATCAGCAGAAGGCTGCATTTTTGTCCGGGCTGAAAGTGTGCATCACTTTGCCATTCACTTGTCGCAACTTGTTGCAGACATCTAAGAAGCAACAACTGAAGCGTTCCGTGTGCAAGATGTGCAAGCAAGCAGCCAAGCAGCATCTTTGTCAAGGTCGGAAGGAGATTGGAATTTGGCCTCCCAACCGACCTCTGCCGAAAACACATTTCCACTCACCGAGGCCTGCGCCTTTGGACCTCGACTTCTTTGCCCAAATTCATGGTGCTCATGGCCTGTATTGCTTTCATCTTGAAAGCATAGCGCGTAGCAGGATCACGGATGCTGTCGCATCTGGGAAACTCGTGAACGATGACCTTGAACCAGCAGAGCACTCCAAAATTTTCGTATGCCTGCTTGTAGCATTTCAAGCGGCGGTTCCCCATTACCACATACAAAGTATGTAGCAGCCTCACGGCTACCAAAGCTGCAATGTCCTCAGAACTCCGTGGGTTTCTCACGAGCTGGGCAATCAAATCGTCAAGATACTGGTCTGAGTGGTGATGCCGAAATTTCTCACTGACATTGACATGGGCAAAGCGTATGTCTTCATCAGCACTGTGCCACTGAGGCCAGTATGCTTGCTCAGCTTCTGGGCAACGGGATGGATCCAGGGGCCGTAGCAAGCGACCTGTGTCATCCTGCCGCAGCACATCATCCAACATAAGCTTTTGTAGCGGACTGAACATTTCAAAGCTGCTCCCGTTGTTTCGCACCCGTGTACAGTCAGCACGGTCCGCAGTTTCGTTTGATTCGGCGCTCTGCGATGTGTCACCCGCGAGACAAAAGCCTCCCAAACGCATTGGGAATTTTGTCATTCTTATGGGCACCTTCTTCTAAATTGGCAAAGGGCAATCAGGAAGAATTGCATGTTATCCGAATTTCAACCTTAAAGTTGCACACAGGGGCTCCTGCCCGACAGTCTTTATTCATCCCTGTCGTATACCAGGGGAAGTCCACATCAAAATCATGGTACATACTTCCAGGATCTTCCAGGTTGTTCCCGACACCCCAATCACAAAGGGGATAAAGTGGCTAAGTAAAGAGGCAAAACTACCAGTTTCCCACCTCTGTGCCTATCATGTACCAATAACAAGTTGGAGGATCCCTTGTACTTTATCTTCGGAACAAGAAAACAAAAATGACTTGCATACGGAAATTCTCGTGAGTTATATTCATGATACGTTTTCATCAAATTTCCGACCTGCCACAGCCTCTTCAAAGCTTTCCTTCAGGAAGTTTGCGCTGTCTCGAACTTCCTCCACGGCTTCGCATCTTGCAGTTTTGTTGCAGAGCCATTGATTGAAGTCCTTCTCGAGATCCGAGGCCAGCCTCCAAGCCTCTGCACATAAATCACATAAGAATTCTCTGGAATGTTGGAGCGCTCAGGGAGTACTTAGAGACAGGAATGGTTAAGTTGTCAAAAAGCGAATTTTGACGGAAAAAACGTGGGGTATACCGAAGACATTCATGGGCATTCGAAAGCACAACAGGATATGCCTTGATCAAGTTGTGAAGGCGCACATGAGCACAACATGTCCTTCAAACGCGGTAACCTTTACTTGAATCCTCACCCCAAGATTCATGGTTAACATACATCACACAATATCATAAGGGGGCGCCGCAGGTATACCAGATTGACACGTCTACTTCAAGAGTGAGAAGGCAAAAACTGTTACACATAATCCAATTTCAAACCTGTCTGGGAGCCGTGCTCTGTAGCTTACAAATCAGTCGTCACAAGCGATTAAAAACTGAACATGTTACGAAAGTGTACAGGCACATCATGCAATTATTATGTATTTTACAAGGTCAGCCAACAATGTGGTATATTACCAATGGGGTGACCTACAAGCCGCTAAGCACTCAGCTCTTTTGAACCAACGCTACAGAGTAGTACGATGACATATGATACATGGTTTTACTGCAGGAGTTTTTACACCCCCCTCGGGCGAGCAGGGACGACTGCGGAGAACGAATAACCCAGAAAAGCATACCCTCGCGGGTAGCCAAATTTCTTTAGTTGGTTTTAGACATTTTTATGCAGTCTTTCAAAGGTCCCTCTAAAAAGCTCAAGCCCGTAAAACCCAGCGCAGCTTTGCAAGGAAGGCACATTACCATGCCGCATCTTGCGCTATGCTACAAAAGAAAATCATCGTCTACCTGCGGTTCCAATAGATCCACCGGCCGCCGGCCTCGTCACGGTAATACCAAGCCCCACGCCAGAAACTCCATTCTCGGCGTGCACCATAGTGATCACGATTCCAACTCCAAGAGGCATCCGGGCGACCGGAGCTTGCAGCCTTCGATGTGACTGTGCTTGCTGCTTTTGCAGTGGGCGGCGTCTCAGGCTCCAAGAATGGTCGTGCTCCTGCTTTGGATGTTGGTGGTTCGGGTGCAAGAAATGGTGCATTGTTGGGATCAACTGGGGCATCAGCGTGCGAGGCGTCTGCGCGAGCAGAGCTTGAGGCGGCTGTGTCGTCATGTGCGGTGGCGGATGCATCAGCTTCGGCTTTGCGCTTTCGCTCAGCGGTGGGCGCGACCGTGGGGTCGGCCTTGTGACCTCCAGGACCTCCAGCCTTTGCAGCGGCGCTCTGCTTCTCTTTGCGTTCAAGGTTGCCCCGAACCAATGGAAGGTTTTCCTCATACACCTTTTCGAGGAATTCAAGAGTGCCATCAAAAGGAACTTGGACAGTGCCCTTCCAGGTCAGCAGGCCACGGAATGCGCCACGACGGCCGATGTAGCTGACATATTCATCCTCTGTAAAAACGTGGCGGCCGAACATGAAACCCCAGACCTTTTTCCATGTTTTGCGGAACTCAACTGGGAACCCTTCCACGCCTCGAGGCTGGGACATGAAAATCAACTTAGATAAGCAGTTTTCATTTTGGGCATTGGCGGCGACGCCAGCCGAGACCTGAGCTTTGGTCCTTGGGGGATCGGGGAGGTTGCCGTATGCAAACATGTCATCAAAGATGCATTCCTGCAGGCCCTTCCCCTCACCGTGGATGCGGTCGCAAAAAGTGACATCGCTGGCGAATCTGTCTTCCACGTCCTCGTAGCCCAGCGCTTTTGCACGTCGATGCCTGTCGCGGCAGTCTTTGAGGACTGCTGATTCCACGGATGTGATTCCCCTGGGGCCCAGTTCCCGGCGAAGAAGATCGGCTTGCTCATTTGTCAAAGCCGTCAACAAGGTGCCGCTCATTTTCCCAAACATTCCGAACCCGGCGAGACTCTGCATTCGCCGTTCAAGGATGCGGGTCCTCCTATTGGGTTTGTCGGCCTCTTTTGTTTCGCCACTTTCGTCCACTGGGAGTGGCTCATATCCACATGTGGTGCATGTCACTTGGCCACTGACGTACTCAACCTGGCAGAGGGGGCAGGAGCCCATGAAAGGTTCACAGTACTTTGGTGCAATGTAAACACGGCGCGTCCTTGCGGGCGGCTGGTCAACTTGCATTGGGGCAGTGGCTGCATCATCAGTGGACGTGGCATCGGGTCGCCCCGTGCTGGTGTCATCCATTGGGTCGTCATTTGCGTCATCTCGGGCAGTCAGGGTGACCACTCTGGATTTCGGTGCTGAGGCTGATTCCGCGCCTGTCCATGAGCTGGGCTCGAGATTGCTCTCGGCGCGGGACCAAAGCACCTGTCCATCTTCTGAGATGCTGACCAGAAACTGCGGTGGGATGCGTTCTGAACACAAAATACCATCCATTTCTGTGCGACTAAAGATGACACCAGCTTCAACTGCTTGCCGCATTGCGATTTTGACTTCGACTGGACATTTTGCTCTTAATCCAGATCGATATCCCTGTGTGCCGATACAGTGTTCTGCCATGTAGATATGAGCACGGCCACTGTTGACTGTGTCACCGCCGCCTGGGATCAGGCCGTTCTGCGCGATGCTCTTCCAGCTGCTTCTCATCGTGCGATGAAAAACAACTTCAGGGACCTCAGTCATGGCACACAAGGGCACGCCAGTGAAGGCGGCTTTTCGCTCGGGGGATACTTGGTTTGAGCAATACACCATGGTTGAATTGGCATAAAGGCCCCCGGCGGTTTTCAAGGCAGCTTCGGAATGACCCTGAATTGCACGGATTTTCACAGGATAATACGGCATGCCTAGGCCATTGTCGACAGGAAAATGGGAGATCTTTGCACACAAGAATTGGAACCTACTCTTGCCATGCTTGTCGATCTTCATTGCGGTGCCAAACAGGTTTGCGACAGTGATGAAAACATCTGGGGGCACTTCCTTGCGGAAGGCTTTGGCAAAATCCTCCAAGTCAATCCAAAGGTCTTTGTCCATTGGCACCTTGGAACAGGATCCATGCCCCCTGCAAACTTTGTTGACACGAGTCGCAAAATCGGAAAATTTCTTGTCGACACGAGTCTGGCCAGCAATGGTCTCAACGTCGGATGCCGATATCAGCTCCAGCTCATAAGCCGTACCTTCAAAGAGGATCCCGGGCACATCTTCCCCGTCTGCATTGGTCACCATTGTATATTGGTATTCAGGCAAATGCTCTTCCATCCAATATGCTTTCACGTGGCCGGATGCATGTTCCTCTAAGCGCGCAGTTGCCTGCGGCTGGTACTGGCTGGATGTGGCTCTCTTGTCATCTGCGGGCTCATCCACTGGTGCTGGTGCTGCTTTCGGTCGCGACTTCAACATGACCTCAGCCGTTTGGACCAGGGTTGTTGCTCTGCTGGGTGCAGCGGGCTCGCCGTCGCCGGCGGCCTTTGGAGGGTCATCTTTGGGAGGCTCAGCAAAAGTTCCAGAAGGCATCGTCTTGGTGTCGATGTAGTCCTCAGTGTCTGGTTGTTGAGCTTCAACGTCCTCCTTGGTGAATGACCTGCCCGTCGGCGTGATGTGTCTTCGGGACTCTCCAAAAAGCAACTTGGTGATGTTTGCACATGTCTCCTGATAGGATGTTGGCAGCTCGTCCAGGACGGCGCTCATGTTCCTCCGCAAATCATCCCATGTCTCCTGGCCACACTGAGTAAGCTCCAAACCAATTCGACCAACCCGCCATCCGCAATCAATTGCGAAAAGGGTAGCTGTCCAATAGGCAGCAAGACGCGTGCGATTTTCTTCAGAGTTGGCGAAATGCCACTGGTCTCTGAATTCCATTGCATCGGCGTACCCCTTTGCTTTCAGCCACGGATACTTCGGATTGGCAAGCCCTTGCAGGCTGCTGGTTAGAGCTTTAAATCTGGGCTCCAATACATCAAAGAACTGATCAAAGATAGGGTGGATGCCATAGTCAGCAGACCAAGGCACGGTCGTGAGACCGGCCGACTGCAAATCCAACTCACGGGCCTTGTTGATGAACCAAGTCAAGTGGCGCTCGCAATCATCCAGGATCGTGGGCCAGTGCCCGTTGGGGCCGTCGTATGGCCAATTTGGATTTTGGGCAATCCCATCCTCACCTACCAATTCATTTCCGAACCAGGACAAATGCAGGTTGATGCGGGCATCAAGATAGCGCTCGCGGGCGTCCGCGGCCAATTCAATCCCACGTTTGACCAGCTTCTGCAGAGTTTTGCCCCAAAGCATCTCATGGATGAACTCAGTCACATACTTAGGTTTGCGCTGCCGGTAATGCTCGGACAGGTCAAACTTCTTAAGTGTTTTCCTACGCCCTGTGATCAATGCACATGACGAGTCAGAGACTAAGATCCAGATTACTTCATTGACAGGCATCTCTGGCAACATGATCTTTTCGATGTGGGACTCCTTTGGCAAAAAGCAGAAGCTAAGGTATTCTGCAAGCGGATCCTCTCGACCGTAGAACCTCAGGGCCGAGGCCGGCGTCCATTCGGTCATCAATCCATCCACGAGGTCCTGAGCAGCCTGATTCTCACCTTCATTGCGCATGGCCAATGCATACAAAATGCGATTGTGAAGGAGCAACCATGCTTCTTTGTTAGCCTCACGTGTGGCTTCGAGCGCAGCCTCGCGGCTGGCCGGGTGTGCTGTGGCATATCGCGAGTCAGCCATTTTAGCAGGACAGGCACGAATGACAGCGGGTGAAATCCTTTTGGATGTTTGGCCCACCACAGCTACCCGGAAACACTCATGGAGCATGTCGGTCAACTTGAAGGGATGGTTCTCAGCAAGTTTAAGAGCTTTGCCCCTACTTTGATCATGCTCATGTTTGCCATCACATTTAAATGAGTCTAACGCGAGTTCTTTGAAGTTTCCTGCAATAGTCCAACTTTTCTTCATTGGTTGACCGTTGTTTCCAAGAACACCCACCATACAACCATCAAAGTGATGAGTAGTCATGGATCGTTCTATGAGGAACTTTCTAACCATCGGCCAACTCCAATATT